AGGCTGGAAAACAAGAATCTGATAAGCACTTGTTGAATAGTTTTGAAAGGATAGACGACAGCTCCGGAGAACACTTCTGCAAAATTATTGCAGGTATGTTGTCCGGGCCGCAAGCTGTAGAAGAGTCTAAGCAGGAAATCACTTTAGATACAGCTTAAGATGCAATGAATTTAAATACAGATAAAACTACAATGAAAAATAATTATGTTATCAGTAAAGTAAAAAAAATTATAAAAATGAATATTTAAACTAAATTACAAAAAATTTGTAAATATAATAAAGAATATCTTTCCAAGTTTCTAATCACAGGTTTTTATTGCAATTCAAAAACTTCCGAAAGCATCGATATTTTGGCAATGTGACTTTCACGTTTTTTTTACTTAAAATAGTCACCTGGACGAGGTCACGTTAAATACACGTGAAAAAGACGTGAATAAAACGTTGCGTGCCTACTGGGTAAGCAATTAAATTAATTAAAAAATCAAAACCATGAAATTTCCCCTCTTAAAAAAATATGTTTTGTTTTAAATTAGCAACTACTTATCCAATAACACAAAATTAAGTTAAAATCGGAAAAATCTATAAGATACGAAAAAAATCCAATTTATATTTAGTGAATTGCCGTGAAGTTGCATCTACTTCTCTTTTGTATAAAAAAATTATAGGAAACTTGATGAGCTATCATCATTTTTGCTTAAAATTGTAGTCGCACCTTAGACGATCTATCACATTCTCGTTTAGACAAACTATCGCATTCTCGTTTATTCAAGCATAGTTGCTTTGCTATTACTGCAAACTTTTAATTATCTAGTTTTTCTGCCCCCTCTCCCCCTATTTCAATGCTTTAGAACTTACATCTTCTAACATCCTCATGTTTTTCTTTACAACCATCAGCTTTTAAATTCTTATCAATTATTCCCTTGTTCTTTAATACTATTCTTTATTTTTAAAAACTACTAGCTTAGTAATGGTTGCTCGAAGCCTTGTAAGGAATAAATTAGTTTAAGCAAACAAAAAATAAGGTGTAACTATATGGCAACATAATAACCCGTTAATGTTAAAATCATTCACACACTGTTTTAAACAGCTTGATCTGTTTAAAACATTGTGTGAATCTGTAGAAGCGATTTAAATTCATTCATACAAACATGACTAATTATTATTATTCCCAGTTAACCAGCTCAACTAGGTCCCAGCTTGGATTGAGCTAGGACTACTGGGATTGGGTTCGGGCTGGGATTTGCTCTGGGTACCAGATGGGTCCTACATGGTGTGAAAATAATGCCGTAAATAAAATCTGGGTTTTACAGGGATTGGTATAGGGCTTCCATAAATGGTTTACGGCTGGTTTGAAGATGGGACGCATGGTTTAATGGTTGCATTATTTTCTAATCAAAGCAGTTTTTCTGGCATCGTTTTTACAAAAAAATTTTGTTGAAATAAAATTACAACACTCTTTTAAAATGTCATATGCGGTAACGCGGCTTGATTTAGATTGAATATACACTTGCATTTGGAGTATATATACATAGCAACTTCAGGGTTTTTTTATTGTATTTGTGTAAAAAATATATACATATCAGTTTTAATTCTATACTAAAAGTGTAAATATGTTACAATTAATATTTAGTCATCCGTTTAAAAAATGATTTCACTCACACAAAAAAAAGAAAATATGACATGCTCTTAAATACTCTTAAATTTCTTAAATGTTCTGAATTTAAGAAATTCTGATCAAACTGCATGAGTTCAATACCATGACGTTTATAATTATTTAATAAAAAGCCCTATATTATTTTTTTTGAGTCTATAGATAATTACGAAGCATTAGATGCTTATAAATATTTTGGTTTTAGCTAGATGCAGGAAGTTTTTCACACGACGTTAAGCTCTAGTTTTGTTGTTTTAAAAACACAAGTTGTCTGACTTGTGCGTTTAAAAAAACAAAACCATCTTAGTCACCTGAGTTGACTCAAAATAACAAAACCATCTTACAAAACATATTTATTTATATACATTTATATATATTAATATAAGTATTCTACGCTTGTTTATAATTGTAAATTTTCATTGTAAAAATAATTTTAATACAAAATTTATGTTTAAGTTGATTAAGTTGTAAAAAATAATTGTTTTCAAGTAATAATGTGACCTAAAATGATTTTTGTTTAATTAGATACAATCAAAATGTTAGTGATATTGATTATTTATTAAATTATATAAAAGATATTTAACCCTCACCAACTGATTTACGGGTTTGATGTCATGTTAACTTGAGTCAAGACTTTAAATTTTAAATGGTATTATAGTAGTCATATTATATTATTGTTATTTACAAGTCTATTTATGTCATGCCTAGTTAATAACATCAAACATTTACCGTAAAATGTCATTGTTTTAGATTCCCTGCAGAATGTCTGTTACAAAGCAAAACTGAAGAAACTTTAAAACTAGATGATGACAACTGAAGAAGTTGAAACACTGTTATTCATGGAGTCATATCGAGGCTTCAGTTCTACAGTATTTATTTTTGTATTTTATTTTTGTTATGTTTATTTTATTTTTTATTTTTGTTATTTTTGTAACAACAAACTATGAGAATAATTAATTGCCCTGCACTTGGTCTCTACTTCAATCTCGCTATGGTTCTAACACGTATATTGATTTATATACTGTATTGAGTTAGCTTGTGGTTTGTACGTGTGTTTTTGTTTGCATAGTGTTTGTTAGTTATATGCAAGATATGGCATGGTATGGCACACTGCATTACCGACTTTCATAAGGGGTGGTTTTGGCGTATGAGATTTCGGAGCCATCTTTATAGGGGATAAATGTAGGGGATAAAAAACAATGTCGATCTCAATTGATACCAGAATGTTTTTACTTTTCTTCTTAATTAACAAAAAACAATGGATAATTTTTTAGATAGAAAATAATTGTACAGAATGATTGTTTATCTACAAGTTACACTTTACACAAGCTACGGATCAGAATAAATAAATTTAAACAGTACCTTTTTCTTGCTTAAAAACTAAAGTGAAAGGCAAAAACGACGTTTTGCACTCAAAACTTGCTTGGATTCTACAAGTATCTCGCCTCTAACTACCTATTTAAATATAAAAGACTCAGCGCACCCTTCTATCACTTCATCTATTTTTAAAAAGTATATATTAAATATAAGAGAATGTAGTTTAGAATAGAAAAAATGATGCAATTATTAAAAATTAAATGCAATTTCGGAACAAAAATTGCCAGAAAAGTTGTGACTGTTAAAATGAAGTTTGTTTAACCTGGCGTTAACGTTGCTTGTTAGTTATCAAAATCTTATGGGGAACAAATTTGTCTTGCTGCAGTTTTGGTTAAAAAAGATTCCATATATCTTTTATTTTGAAATGTTGATTTCAAAAATATTACTTTTAAATTGTTGGTTTCAAAAAAATGTTGATTGTTATTATTTATAAAAGACTTCCATGAAGCAAATGAAAAAATATCATGACTTTAAAAATTACATTATCAAAGTAAAAATGTCTTGCCAAACTAAACTTATTTCAGTATGCCTTGCTCTTAAAAAAATGTAGAAAAACAAATTTTCTAAAATAAAGAAAGCAAACTTTCAAATCATATTGGTGCAATGTTTCGTTTTCACATGTAAATTTTTAATCACTATCTCAGCTATCCCTTTACAAAAATGCCTTCTTTTTTGCTTAATGCTTTTTTATATTCTTAAAGGAAACCGAATCTATAATACTAACTTAATCAGATCACAAAGCGTTTACCACAATAGAAAATATTATTTGAGAAATGGAAAGAAAAATTTATACTGTTTCTAAAAATAACATAATTAATAACATAACATGTATTTCCAAAAAGAAAATTAACTGCTACAAAATGTACTTAAAAAATTGTTATACTAAAATTATTATATAAATAATAACAAGGAGTGTGTTGAAGCAAAGAAAACAATTTTCTATCTTTACAATCTATTTACGATATTTAGTAACATATACAAAGAGATTTAACAGAAACAAATGTTAACATTGAGAATATATATGCTGCTGATCCTATTGAATATACTGATTCTAAAAAGGTTTAACAAAATTAAGATGCATGGTAAAACAAAAGAAATCAAAATAACTGATGACTTTGTTGTTTACAGGAAAAAGTTTGAAAGCTTAACGGAACACTATTTTTCACTATCTGATATTAAATAATATAGATATAGAAATATTTCTGAAAAAAAGACAACTTCCATATGCTTAAATACAATTATGTATCAAATAACATAATAATTTTCCTGTTTGTGTATATTTGTAATAAGAAAAATCAAGAGTATATGCTCAAATACAGTTATGTATCAAATAACATAATACTTTTCCTGTTTGTGTATTTTTGTAATGAGAAATATCAAGAGTGTTGAAATTAAAATTTGCAGATTGAGCCTTAAATTGTATACAGTCTATATCTTTATCTGTATCTATATCTTTAAATTGTGTATCAATGTATCAATTTGAAGATGTCCATTAGGCAGGTCCGTTTTTAGGGGTCAGAAAAACTATAACTTTGCCACTTTATTTTCCCATTCTACGTTGATATACAAGACAATTCCAAAAAAAAATTTAAAATATTTCAATTTTCCTGACCTCCCTGAGGGTTTACATATTTTAAAAAAAACCATTTTTGACCAATTATTCGTTAAATTGCTTTTTTAATTGGATCAAGGACCAACAAAACTTATAAATTTTTTTTGAGTGAGCTGGGTCTACTATTAGGAAGGTTGGTACTAAATTTGAGCTCAAAATATTAAAAATTTCTCGAGATAACACATTTTGAAATATAACCCGGTCTCTTTTAAAGACCTGGTTTTTACTATGTTTTTAATTGTATATTTATCTAAACACTCTTAAATATTGATTAAAAAACTCAATAAAACTTGCATTCCAAAAGTTTGTTTAATAAGGAATCCAAATATTGTACTTAATAAAGATAAAAAATAAAAGTTGTTAAAAATGTATGAGACTTTGACTAAAGGTTTTACAAATACGTTTTGTAAATAATATACATAAAAAATTCAGTTGAATTTTTCTTATAAAAAGTTAAACTTTTCTTACAATTTATTAAGTATTTCTTTGGACCAGTTACATTTATAAAATGGAAAATTAACTCTGTGCTCCTTTAAAACCAGTAAAATATCTTCTCCTCTTTTATTGTTGAATCGATAAAGTCTTTTACCAATTTAATAGCTCTTTTGCAACAGACAAAAAGACTAATCTTTTTATAAACCTTTGCATAGTTTTATAATCAGAATCATAAGTCCACAAATCAGGTGGACTTTCTAACCACTTTGATAAGTAAGGAACTATTTTAAAAATTAGCCAAGAATTTCGACCAACGTAATCATTAAGTTCTGAATGTTCATTTATTTCTACAGGCTTAAACTTTTTAAGTTTGAAGATTTCAGGTAAATTTGTTTTTAACAACTGCTGAGCAACTTTTCCTTTAAATTTGTTGTCAAGACTTTTATCAAATAAACAAAAGACAACCGTTTCTTCAGAAAGATAATAACTGTGTCTAAGATAGCTTGAAATAAAAGCTTGAGAAACATCAGCATCAAAATCTTTCATTTTTATCATCTCTTTAACTGTACACAAATCATTATGAGCAGCAGAAACAATTTGACTTGATTGAAGAAAGTTTTTTGTATGAACTGAAGCTACATATATCGCAGCCTTTGAAAATACTATTTCTTCCTCTAGGGTTAAAAACTTTATGATTGGTTGAGTAAGCTTCATTGCCAAAATGTATAAAGCGTCTGCCATAAATCTAGCTTCATGTTCAGCAGCTGGTTTGTGTATAATAAATTCAGGAACTGCCTCCCTTCCTTCCAGAAAAACAATGACATATTGACACAGATGTTTATAATCATTTCTGGAAAAAGTATTAAGTTCCAAAGCTTTTTTGCAAAAAGATAAACTTTTTTTAGCCATATCTTCTAATGGGGTTCCACTAACTTCGCACCACGGAAACTTTGATAACTGATCCATATTATTTTGAACATTTTCATAATGCATTGGCCAAGTAGCTTTGAATCTCGTATAAATAGATTTTGATGGACCTTTGCTTTCTGTTTTAGTGATTGCATTTATTGCATGTAAAATATGTCTTTCTTGGGAATGTTTTCTACAAAGAAGTCTTAACAGAGGTCGATTTAAAAGTTCTTCTAAAATACTTATACAACCCTTATTACAACCAGTGTTACATGCTGTTGTGTCAGCACAAATCCCAATTATAATGCTTTCAATTCCAAACTTTTTTATAACATTAAAACATGCCAATGCTTGATCATATCCTTTCCCCGATTGACATTTAACTATGCCTAGCAGCTCATCCTGTTGTTTTCCATTTGTATTTAAATCCCAGTCTGGACTTGTAACAACAATAGCTAGACGTTCGCTTACTTCAGAAATATAGTCTTCATTTAAAGTTGTAACTTTTTTTGTATCAATGTGCAAAATTAAATTACTATTTTTACATTTTTCTATTATTTTTTCCTTAATTAACTCTGATTCACTTACATACAAATCTTTTCTTATTTTTTCTACTTTTGTCTTTGAAAGTTTTACTTCATTAAGGTTGATATTTCCACATCTTAAAAATAATGCTAATAATCCTGTCTGTACTCCAACAGAAATTCCAAAACGCCCACAAAATGTTGAAGTTTTTTTAATAAGTTAAATTAATACAATTACTATTTGATGAAAATTGTTTTAACTTTGATGAAAATTGTTTTAATTTTTGTGGCAGATTCCTCCTTTTGCTCTAACTCCTTGGCTTTCCTTTTGCGAAACTCTTTGTTGGAATAAATTTTTTGATATTTTTTGTCTATTTTGTTAATTATCATTGTTCTTGCAGTTTTTTGATCTTCATAAAATAAAATATTGCATTCTTTTGCACCTTTTGATTGAATTTTATCTTTTTCAATTATTTCATAAAGTTTTGGGTGCCTTATGTCAAACAATTCTTTTTCTAATGCCAAAAAATTATTTTCATGCAGCTTTTGTGTTTCCGTTTTTTTTGAACGATATGATACTAGTTTCTTGTGATGATATATTAATTTGGAAACATTTTCCCTGAAATAATTTAATAAATTTTCATTTGTCATTTGTCAGCTTAAATTTTTATATCAATAATTATCAATAATTACGTAATAAACTATAAACATTATTTAAATTAATAGTTACCTAATACTTGGTATACCACCCATAAGCCACGTGGTATACCACCCATAAGTCACGGTTTTTTAAGAGCAGAAACAACACATTTGGGCTGACATATTTTATCATTAATAGTAGCTCGTGATTTAATTTTTTTTTTTTTAGTTTGCACCGCCGGACCTATGCGGAGTTATAATCACAACGCGCAATAATAAATTTTATGAAACTGCGCTGCGTTTGTAACTTTTTAAATTTAAACTGGCAATATCAACACGTTCATTTACTGAAATATTTTTATTAGGAAAAACCCACGAAATTGGTTGCAGAACTTTGCCTACAAAAGGCGACGTTTTAAGATATTTTTATCACTGCTGCAGATTACTGAATTTCAAAATATAAAAAACACACCGAAATTATTTCCTGCCCTCTAGGTGTTAAGCCTTGGGTCATTATTTTAAAATTAAAATACGTATAAAAATAATTTTTTTTTGCTATTTAATTAGCTCATAATAGGTCCTACAAAAAACAAGAAAAAAATTTGGGTGGATATATAAGACTCTTATTTATCCACCCAAAATAAAATTTTCTCATTGTTTTTTAGTTTTTAGATCAACACTTTAATGCCAATAAAGGTTTAATGCCAAGTTAATAATTCAGTTCATCCATATTAGCAATTCAGCTAATATAGATAAACTGAATTATTAACTTGGCATTAAACAAAAAGTTTAGGCATTAATCTTACAAGATTTATAGCTAAATAACATTTTAAAAATTAAATTTCGAACAGGCGCACCTTTAATTAACTAGTGGTAAACATCACAGCGTGACCAGACACATTTGGGTAATTATAAACCAGGTAAATGGGCTGTTTTTAATAAATTTTAAAACTTAGTAGAGAGGTATTAGACAAATATATAATTATATCTTCATAAAAATAGTTCTTACATATAAAAATTTTCAGAACACGCCCATACTATATTAGTGTCAAATCGCGTCCATATTATATTGCTGTCATATATACAACGTTTTAAAGTTTTTCGGTGATTTTATCTGAAGACGTAAGTTATTTCACTAAATACTTGGCACTTGAATAGGGTCGCATTTCTATTTTCCCATTTTTGTTTTAAATTAGGTGCGCATCAAATATTCCTGGTTTTTTCTGGTGCTTTTGTAAATAACTCATCAATTTTAAATTTTTTTACTGTATTTATAATATCTTCCATAGAAACAAAATAGACATTGAAATTAGTCTAATTTTTAACAGCTTCATGAAAAGTTATGGCATCAGTTATTATAAATTTTCTCTGAATTATTTTTTGCGCTGCTATTCTTTTAACGGTCCCACCAATAGCATCTACCTTTCCCATGTGAAGCAGAAAAAAGTTCCAGATTTAAATCATGCAGTTCTTCCAACCAGGGTATTGCTGATGCAATAAAACAATTTTTGAATTGATTACTCGGCTTGTCTTTTTAAACCTGAAGTATTTTAACACTTGATTTAATATGGTTAGATAACAAAGTATGAACAAATATAAGAATCGATTCTTTCGAGTGGCTTAAATCATCTGAAACTATGACAGCTAATGAGCATAAATTTTGGTACCAAAATACAGCAGTAAACACAGTAACTTGACTCTTGTGCCAATGACTGACTGCACTTTATCTTGCCACAAAGTTGAAAATTTTTTATCAAAATCTACTTGAAGAACAGCTGTGTTTGGATTACTTTGAAGTTGAATCTTATGATCATGATATCTCATTTAAAACTTATAGATTATGAAACTTTGCAGCATCTTTGCATGTTGTACACATATTGTTATAACAAATTTCTTTTTCACTATCACATACAATGCAGAGGAAATTCATGTGAATACAATAGAAAGTTTAAATCAAACTTGTGCAGGGCTTCAAGGATAAGGATTATATTTTGATGTCGTTGACAACTACAAACGTTTCTTGAAATTGAACTAGACAAAAGCACATGTGGTGGGCGTAAACTAGCAAACTTTGATTTTCCAACTGATTCTTCAGGATAACCACCTTTAAAAATAGCATAAACTTCATTAACATTTATATATAAATGACGTTTTTGCACAGTTTCTTTCTTGTTCTTTATTCTCACCACAATGGTGTCCTATTTACCGGGTGCTTGACGGGATATATCATCACGCTGGTAAAATCAAAAACCAATTTTGCAGTTAAAGCAACTAATGCATTTTCACTAAGTATTTTTTCTGGGCTAAGGATTTCATTCATTTTTGTTAAAAGTTTTTGTACAACTTTAGCCCTCTTTCTGGGTGATTTTGGTAGTGCTGACTCGGCTTTTTTAATAGCTTTTCCAAGAGAGCTCTCAGATTTGTATGGGGGTGATGTAACAACTACAAATTTTGATTCTGCTATTTTTTGTCTTCTCTTTCTATTTCGTAGCCTTTCTTTTTTTCCTTAATCCTCCAATTTAGCAAGTCTTCTTTCTTTTCTCTTTTTTGATTCTTTTTCTTTAACTACTTTTTCGCCAAATTTTTTAAACTGTCTTTTACAATATTTCTTTTGACGTTTAGCATGAGTAAGTGGCATGTTAAACCCATGAAAGATTAAAAACAATTAAGAGCAGCACAGTAGTTAAAGAGATGCACATATTACATTTAAGGCTCAATGGAGTTACTACTTTCCTTAAAGATAGTTGAGCATTTATCCTCCAAGTGTTGCCTATGCAAAACATACCTATATTTTGGTATTGTGGTTTAACCTTCTCCGGCTAATTGCCATATAGAGGTCACTTTACCAGAAGTCCGTAAAGACTAGTTGAGCTCCCGAAGGAGCGTCATACCCGCTCTACGGACTGAGAGTAAGGTGAGTTTGGGAAGAACGAAGATATGTTAGAGTGAAAGATAGAAGTAGTCGAGTTAGAAAGATAGCATAGGGTAAACGGACAGGATTGCACACGATGTTGTAGAGTGAAATACATACTGTTAGTTAGGTCACCTAACTATTGTACGTCAACAAAGTTGTGATTGGAGTTCACATTACATGAGCTCTTTCTTAACTATCTTTGTCGAACTTACCAATAATTTGTAGAAAACGTCAAGGAAAACATGTCGCACAATAATCTGGCTCATTAAAGTTGATAAAAACTCAATTGTGGTTTCAGTTTAACAGTTTTAAATATTGTTTTAAATTTTGTCACGCCATGACATCACGGCGTGACATAAAAAGATTCTAAAAATAACATAAGGTAAGGGAAGATGGATAGGAGTAAACCACTTTTTTTTAAATGAGTTACATCAAGGAAACCAAAAGTGGAAAAAGTATAGGATAAAGAGCCTAAGGTAGCCTAAAGTATTAGGTTTCTAATAGTAATACATGAAATATCAAAATATCTTTATATCTTTAATAACTTAAACAATAACGTAGGTGTTGATACTGGTTCGTTCCTACCCATGCATGGGTAGGAATGAACCAAGCAAATGATAGGAGTGAGCCATTATCTTTGATTACCAGTAAACTAAAATCAGATATTTTCTTTAACTAATTTATTGAAAATTAAGTAAGTAACAAATACATTATAATTAAGCATAACATAGTTAAGTAATAATGTAACATAAATAACACTCAATTTTAGACTCATTTAATGAAATAAACAAAATGTATAAGCTACCAGAAAAACAGTTTGCTTTCAGTAACAACTAATTTTGACAACAAAACAAAAAACGTGGTTTATGTTAAATACTTTGTTCTAAAAACTACATTGTTTATTAGTAAATTTTGAACCACTACCAAATGTCTCAAAACAACCGGTATGCTCGTTAAAGAAGTTTCAAAAAATACAAAAAATTTACTTTTGCACAGAAAATAGACAAGAGAAAGAAAAAGGATGACAACGTAAACGCAGACACCCGCACCAAGAAGCGGTAAAAAAATTGAATTGTGTTAACAGTAATTTCTACGTAACTACTTGGTGAAAATTTTGAGTCTTTTACATTACCCGTTTTAGCTGTAGGATCAACGATTCACTCCTACCCTTGGCTCACTCCTACCCACCATCCCTTAATTATTTTTTTTAAACATGTTAGAATTTTTTTAGATGTACTAGATAGATTTCTTATTGCGCTGGAACTTCGAAATCCTAAGTTTTACTGATTGTCCTAGAAATAAAACTATCGGTCCCCTAATTGTCACAGCGTGACATGTCACAGCGTGACAATAGTGGTAATAACATTTGATTAAAATAAATGGTTTTCTGAATTCGTTTAGCAAAAAACATGTTTTTATCATAAGTAGCAATGATTAGTGCAGCTAAAAGCCTGATTGCAATGAGCAAGACACTTTTTGAATATTTTATAGGTTCAAAATTTAACTTTGGCGGTTAAAAATGAATTAAGTTATCGCAAAAACGCCTATTTTTACGTTTTTTTTCATCCCATATTATTTTTTTATATACGTTTATATACGTGCATACGTGCGAACTGGCATATGTGCACTAAAAGAATTGGAAAATACTAGCATAAGTGCGAGTTGGCAAATATAAGCAAGTGCGTCAAAAAAATACGCAAATATTGGCATAAGTGCAAACTAGCATAAGTGCGCCAAAAGAATTTGCAATCATTGGCATAACTGCGAAGCAGGAGGTTGAATAAGTGCGCCAAAAGAATTGGTAAACATGTGGCATAAGTGCGAATCAGTTACAAAAATTAGCATAACTGCGCTGAATAAATTTGCAAACATAGGCACGAGTCCAAAGCATAAATCGGCATGTTTCCCAAAAAAATTTCAAAAACTGGTGTAAATGCGTCAAAAAAATTTAAAAACACTGGCACAGAGATCCGCACTTATGCCAATATTCGCGATTTTATTCGGCGTACTTATGCCAGTTTTTGCAATTGCTTTGCACTTATTCAGTCTCCCGCACGTTTTTATAAGCTATTGGAGACCAGAAAGCTTTTGAGTATCATACCATTCAATTATCGTATATAGCTGTGCCAACAATGCCTTGATTTTATATTGTTTCGAGAAGGCTTTCAATGTAAATGTTAGAGATTTAAGGTGAAATAAATAAATCTTGTCTTGCGTACTTGCACACAGTAGTCAGAAATGCTTGAAAATGCGAATTGTGTTTTCTTTCTCAAATTGTTAAAATTGGGCAAAAATTAAAAAA